CAGACTGTTTTGGAGAGCATTATTTATCCCGAGCCCACTGACAGCGATCAATAATGCATCTTTTTTTTTCAGTGCAGTGTTACCAAGCAGCTGCTGCTGCAAAATGAGTTTGTTCCAGGTGGTCGGTTACAGGAAAGACAAGGTAGGCTGGATAATTTCAGCACTTAACTAAAGTTTGATCTGAAAAGAGTAAGTTTAAAAAAAAATAATAATAATTGAAGGCCTAAAACAAGGAAGGTGGTGAAGGAATCACCAGCTCTCTTAGAGAATAAAACAAAAACTTTCCCTTCATTTGCTAAGTCTCAGGTCGTTCCTGATAAACAAAGCCCAGATGTTCCAGCTGGATCTGCATCCAGATGTTCTCAGCATTGAGATGGAGAAGGATGCATGTTGGGGAGATGTTCGGGGAGGACTTGAATAAATTTGTATTTAAGTTGGATTGTCTGGTTTCAGTTACACTTAATTAACTTAAAACTTTTCTATTTTATTTCTAAATTAAATGGGTTTCTTAGAGAATAAAAAAATCAACAGGACTTTTTTAACTTTTGGTCAAGCTTTGTTAAATTCCTAACATTTATACACACTTGATCTGGTAAATTAATTCTGGGTAGAATGTCAGGTGAACTAATCCTGTCTAACAAATTTATCAAGTACCGTATTTTCCGGACTATAAGCAACTACTTTTTTCCCACGCTTTAAAGCAACACAGCTTATAAGGGACTTTATGTAGAGCGCCCCCTACAGGTTTGGTGGAGGGCAGTTCAGTATATATCAGCGTCTTATATACTTTTCCAGTTTTTCAAAAAATGTAGTGGGCACAGGTTATGTCGAGGTCAGAGATGGGGACTCGAGTTTGTGACTCGTACTCGAGTCGCACTTAAGTCGCATATTTAATGACTTTAGACTCGACTTAGACTTGCATTTGAAGGACTTCAGACTCGACTTGGACTCGTGATTTCTGACTTGTAAACAATATTTTATTTTTAAGTGTTTTTTGTTTTACTAACTTGACTGATCGCCGCTCGCCTTACCCGCACACAGCAGAGGTAAAAAAAAAAAAGACGGCATAGGGGCTGTCAAACTGTCACGTAGCACTAGGGGTGGGTATAGCCAAAGACGTCACAATGCGATTCTATCACGATGCATCACGATACTTGAATTATTGCGATGCATTGCAATATTTTCTCCTCCATGTTTTGTTTTTGAATGACTCTGCGCAGTATCCCGCAGCCGGAAATGCTTGTGACACAAGGCAGCGCGTGTCAACAAATCCGCAGCGACATCTACTGGACTGGAAGTTGTATTACACTTGTTTTTGGCTGTGTGCCAACCATTCATGCAATTTTATTTATTAATTTTTTTAAATCAATAATCGATACTTGGCGTCAAGAATCGATGCAGTAGATCACGAAAATTAGAATCACGATGCATCATCATGACGATTATTTTGCACACCCCTACGTAGCACTGACGTCACTGACGCAACGCTACGTGACATATATGCCCGCGCGCCCGGGCGCATGCATGCATGATCGACAAGCCAAGCTTTAAAAACTTCATGGCCGTCGTAGAGGAGAAATATGTTGTGAATTGACACTAAATAAATAAACTGAATTGAATTTAAAATACTGCCCGCCAAGTTGGTTCTGTCTGTTCCAGCGCATTAAATTACAAAAAATTATTGCCACAAAGTTTCTTTTATGAAAGAATTGTTAGTGTCCTGATATTTATTTAGGGTTTTTCTTTATCTCTTGTAGTTGCTAACTTCATATGTATTAATAAAAAGCAGGATTGTGATTGTTTTTTTTCCCCACAGCCCTCATTTTCACTTAAAAATAAAAGAGCAGACATTTACTCCTAAAACTAGAAAAACTTGTAACCACAAATGTCATTTAAATACTGAAAGAAAATTGTTGTTTTTGAAAGAAAAAAATAAAGATGCAAAATTTAACTTGGAAAAAAATTGCGTGTGTGGTTTTTTAAATTTTATTTTTCATTTACCAGTTCAAGATAATGATCATTCCATAGATATAATAGCGACCTTTAAGCTATACCGTCTCAGAGAGGAAAACACAAGGAGAAACAAGCAAACGTGCAAATTATTGCACTTATTTTAATTGATCGAGTGATTGGAATTTATTGTGCGATTAATTGATAATTGTGACAGGCCTTCTCAAGACTTGAGACTTGACTTGGACGTGCAAAAAATGACTTGTGAACATGTCTGGTCGAGGTGCACCCTATAGTCCAGAAAATACGGTACATCAAGAAGACAACACTAATGTGTACATTTCCTTGAATCTTTGTACCGTTATTCCAGGAAATATAACAAGATGTTTAAAAGAAGAATGAGATTAAAAAACCTCTAACTGGAAACAGAAATTTAATCTGAGATTTTATAATTTTTGCGGCACAATTTACCTTTTAGGTTTTCACAGGCCTGGCTTAGTGCTTGACTAAATGCAGCCTGACACACTGTTTCTTCATCCATGCTTGACCCCTACTGGACATTTCCCACATGTTGACAGGGTGGCAAAGATTACAAGACACGGGTCCCTAAATATAGCAGGAAAGAAGTAAACAAGAGAGGAAAGGCTGGCCTCCTCCTCAGGTGGGGCCATTCCTCCTTTCTCTCTCCATCTCCTCTTTCAGCCATAAGAGCGTCCGCAGGGATGCCGATACGTGGAGCAGCCATTGCTAATGTCTCAAGTCAAACTCCCATTGCTGTTTTTTTCTTCCCGATGAACTGAAGGCATTACAAAATTTGATAGATGGTTGCTAATATTTAGTTGATACCCCTCAGTGGCTGCAGCTCAGAGGTGGAGTGAACTTTGCCCTTGTAAAGCCCCAGGAGTAAATGTGATGGATGTGCACACTGCCTGCGTGTCTTAGGGGTCTATTTACCTGATTTCACAGTAAAAATACTGATGCATTCGAGAAGGGAATATATCAGCTTTTGTAGATTACTGTTGTAGAGAGTTTATTTTAAATTTTTTTATCTGAAGATAAAAGATTAAAATAATGACAACTGTCCAAAAGACTGTAAATTTGCAGCTGAGCTTTTAGTTACTGTTGGCTCGAAATGTTGGAAAACCAACATTTTTATGGTCAATTTAAAAGCTTAATCTCTTGTCAATTTAATGTTTAAAAATTGTGCAACACAGGGGCAGATTTAGGAAATTTGGGGCCCTAGGCAAAGACAGGCAGGGGCCCTCTGAATTAAGAAGACAACACATCAAACAGCCCCATTCTACACATAGAGAAATATTAATAGAATATTGCTTTTATGGGCTCCTTGTTTGTATTTATTAGTAGAATATATCTCCCGTCAATGAGATTTAGTGTAAAAGCAAATAACAGTCATTTCTTTACATATTTTTCTATAATACTACTTTTGTTTTTATTTGTTTTACAAAACAAATAAGTAGAAGGGCACTCTGTCAGGTTTTTAATGGGGTAGGAGTGGGATGGGTACATTGTTTTATTTCAAGATGTGGTTTAAATAAACATTAATTAATGACATGAATTTAACCTTCATAAGACAAAAAGAGTGAAGCAACTCATTAAATTAGGAGATGATTTAATGTTTATGGATTCATGATGGTGGCTAGAGCAGGGGCGGATTCAGGAAATTTGGGGCCCTAGGCAAAGACACGCAGGGGGCCCTCTGAACTGAGAAGGCAACACATCAAACAGACCCGTTATACAGATAGAGAAATGTTAATAGAGTAGACATCCATTATCTGTTCTAGGTTGTGTCCCTCTCTTCTTGTCCCTTTTCTTCTTGTTTTCCTCTCTATGTTTTGTACTCAGCTGACTTTTCATGCTGTCTCTAAAGGAATGAAAGATTTTTTCCAAGCACTAAGCTCACTTAGCTGATTGCTCCTTCCTGTGTTTCCAAAAAGGCCAAAGTAAATAACCCAGTCCTTCTTTTCACTGTAGACAAGCCATGATCTGCTTATCTGTTCTCCATTTTTCATTTGGATGAAATAATAGCTGCATGAATCATGACAGCAGACAAGATAGAGGAGAGCAGGAGGCGGGGTTACCAATCTACTCGCTCTGGAGAGCAGAGTTCGCTGCTTTTAGATGTTGTCTCCAAAGTCTCCAGTAGCAGAAAAAAGTCTCTAGATTTGGCGCTAGGAGCTTTTTAGAAATCAAAGTGCTAGAGGGGTCTGAAAAGTGGCTAAATATAGCGACTAAAGCGCTAAGTTGGCAACACTGCTCTTTGCATGGTTTGTTTTCAAATGGTTTGCTGCTGTCTGTTTGGACCTTTCTGAACATGTGCAGCAAATGGACTGATCCAATATGGTGGACACTGAAGGGGGGCGGGGGGTGAGACACACTTAATATTATCAGCGTTCTGATGGCATTTCAGCGAAAGGATTTTTATCAAAAACATTATTTACATGTATGATTAATACATCTATTACTTATGTGTGAACATTATTTGAGCTTTATGGGCCCCCCAGGATCCGCCCGCTCCATATTTTTTTTCAAGTTCAAAACTTAATTAACATAAAGAGATAATTTAAACCAACTGTCTGATAGTAATTCATCTGTATAATATGTATCACTATGCATATTCACATACTGCAATAAAACCATGAAGATCAGGAAAATATTTAGGAAAACACAGTATTTTATCTTTTGTGGTCCAGTTTTTCATTTTTTTCTTGAAGAATACAACAAAATACTTAGTCTGCTAATGACAGCACCATAAAAGGGATTAATATTGGCTATTTTGTCACTGCTATCAAAATCCACCCCATCCTCCCACATAAACTGATCGGGTAGCATATCTAATAAAGTCTAACCAATATGTCAATGAATACCATGTCACGAAGGAGTGGTTAACAGCTAAAAAATGGTGTAAGCTTTTCAAAGTTCACTGTGATCTTTGACATATTTGTAGAACAGTGTTTCAGAAAGGGCAAATCCAAAACCCTTGAAATGCAGCAGGTCATTAGAGTGCGGAGAGCAACACCTCGTTGACTTACCCGCCTTTGTTCTTGCTCACATCGATGGTGGTGATGGAATGTTTGGCTCCAGATTGCACCTCCCAGTCCACCTTCCACTGGGCGTTCTTTGACTTGGTCTGCAGCAGGTTCACCCCTTTCTTTGCTTTGACCCTGCGAGGGAACAGCAGGGGAGAAAAGAAACGGCGCAATTCAGTTTTATCGCAAGGTATGATTTATATCGGAGGGCCGCGGGTGAACCCCTTCTGTGTGTGCATCAGACCTCCACTTGTGTTGCATCATAGCAAAAGCAATTCCACAGATGAATCAGTAGCAGAGATGAATGAAGACAGTGATACATGAGACTAATGGGCTGGGACTTCTGCAGGTCAGACTGTTCGTCAACACTACCTCAAGGAACCCCTTAAAAGGAAGCCACTGGGGTTTGTACATTATTAACTACCAACATCTGGAGGTTTGGCTCATGGGCAAAGATGTTGAGTTTTGTTGCATCTGCATTGCAATGTCTTTTTAGGTTAGTAAAGCAAAAATATAATTATCTATTTAGGGGAATTCAGTTTTTCTTTTTGTTTTTTTTTTTTACCTAGGGACCATGGCCAGAATTTTCTATACAGGCAATTTAAGGTTCAAGAAAAGACTATAAATTAGGGATGCACGATATAATCGGCCCCCTATCGGTATCGGCCTTAAAACTGAATATCGGACATCGGCAACCCCACCGATATTTAACCCGATATTTGATCAGCTTCTGAGTTTCTAAACTCTAAAAATAAAAAATACTACTAATTCCTCCTCAAAAACTTATTTTTTACAGACTTAAAAACTTCTAAAGACGAGGGGAAAAATATTGATACATTAAAATATCCCAATATCTTCATATGCTGATATATTGCCATTTAAAAACACCATATCAATCTGTTTTACTAATGAAATATTGCTATATGTCATCGTTATGCTACGAAATCCCCCGAAAATTCACAAAATGTTGCCATATTTTTATATGTTGATATATTGACGCGGTATCGATCTATTTTTACTTTATACATGCTCCCAATTGGTAGAATTATTAGACAGCATGGGATTAATTTCCACTGTTATGCTGATGATACCCAGCTATATCTGTCTATAATCCAGATGAAGCTAACCCATTACATAGATTACAGGCATGTCTTGAAGACATAAAAACCTGGATGACTCTTAACTTTCTGCTCCTGAATGCAGACAAAACAGAAGTTATAGTCATTGGACCAGAGTCTCTGAAAAAGAAACTGATTAGCCAGTCACTTCATTTGGATGGGATTAAACTGATTTCAGATAATAAAGTAAAAAAATCTTGGTGTTATTTTTGATCAGGACCTGTCATTTAAATCCCAGATCAAAGAGGTTTCTAGAATTTCCTTCTTTCATCTGAGGAACATTGCAAAAATTAGAAATCTCCTGTCCAGGGGTGATGCTGAGAAACTAGTCCATGCATTTGTTACTTCAAGGCTGGACTATTGTAATTCTTTACTATCAGGAAGTCCACAAACTGTAGTTAAAAGCCTTCAGCTGATCTAAAATGCTGCAGCCAGAGTTCTGATGAAAATGAAAAAGAGAGATCATATCTCTCCTATCCTGGCTTCTCTTCATTGGCTTCCTGTTAAATCAAGAATAGAATTTAAAATCCTCCTTCTCACATATAAAGCCTTAAATGGCCAAGCTCCATCTGATATCAGAGATCTGATTGTTCCTTATGTTCCTAACAGAGCACTTCGCTCTCAATCTGCAGGTTTACTAATGGTTCCTAGAATTTCTAAAAGTAGAATGGGAGGCAGATCTTTTAGTTATCAGGCTCCTCTCCTGTGGAACCAACTACCAGTTTTAGTCCGTGAGGCAGACACCCTGTCTACTTTTAAGGCTAGGCTTAAAACTTTCCTTTTTGATAAAGCTTCTAGTTAGAGTGGCTCAGGTTATCCTGAGCTATCTCTATAGTTCTGCTGCTATAGGCTTAGACTGCTGGAGGACATAGGGACCCCTTTTTCATCATTCTGCTTCATTCTCTCTCTGTTCTCCTATTCTGCAGAATCTGTTAGTTCAATCTCTAACCTTCTGCTCTCTCTGCTTTTCCTCAGAGTAGCTTTGCCTCGTCTGTTCCTGTTTGGCTGTGACGTCATCCTGGAAAGAAACATCAGCTGTGCTGCTTCTATCAACACCCTTGTTTATAGATGTTGGAGATCGGCCTGTTTTCCAGTGTGGTCCTGTTTCTCTGACCGTGACTGAGTGGATGTGCTCTCTTCGTCCTCTGGCATGGGAGCTGCCTTGGAGCTCGTCTGCCTGGCTGTGTGTTTCCTGGACAGGGCCGCCTTTTACAGCTGCTTTTTGTATCTCTGCTTCTGTCTCCTTGAACCCCAGTCGGCCTCGGCAGATGGCCGCTCACACTGAGCCTGGTTCTGCTGGAGGTTTCTTCCTGTTAAAAGGGAGTTTTTCCTCTCCACTGTCGCTACAAGCATGCTTAGTGTGGGGGATTGTATTTGAGTCAATGAGTCAATGCAATCAACTGGTTTTCCTTAGATAGAAAACTTTGTATCAATTTGACTGTATGATCTGGTTGAACTGTAAAGTGCCTTGAGATGACATGTGTTGTGAATTTGGCACTATAGAAATAAACTGAATTGAATTGAATTTTACTAACAAAATCTCACAAGAATTTGCAAAATATCACGAGAGTTTGTAACAGAACGATGAAATTTCACGACATTTTGAAAGTAAAATAGATCGATACCGCGTTTTTAAAAATCAATTTGATATCAGCATATGAAAATATATTGGAGTATATTATTTTTCAAAGTGTCAGAAATGGATAACAAAACTGCTATTTTCAATGACTACTTATTTTTGTCCAGCTTTAACATCGATATCGGTTATCGGCTACGTGAGTTTTAAAATATCGGCATATCAGATATCGCGCAAAATCCCAATATCCTGCATCCCTAATATAAATACAGATATTCATGTCAATTATAATTAGGCAAACACCCTGAGGGGGGAGAGTATTATGATACTAACTTAAAGATGATTACAATGATGGTTATTCACACATGAATTTATACACACGAACATGTGCTGCATATTCAGTAGCTTGTTTTGTTACAAATAAAGTGTCTTGCACTTTATTGCACATAAAACTATAAACAAACCCTATATAAACGATAAATCTGCATAACCTGTAGAAATCAATTATATGTCCCAAACCTGGATGTCTTTTCCTATATAATAAACTATATATGTCATGATCTGGCCTGTTTGCTCCTCCTTAATTAGTCATTCCTTTCACCTGTCGTTTTCCCTCCCTGCCTCAATTATAATTTATTCCTCTCACCTGTTTCCTCTTGGTTTTATTCAGTTCAGCCTGAGCATTCAGGGCCAGATCATTACTTGTCTTTTTGTCAGTCTGTCTGTTCAGTTTTAGTTCATGGTTCATGTCCTGGATCCTAGCAGCCAGTGGAAAGAGGGTTTTAGTGTTTGTCTCGTCTCCTGATCGTTCACTGTTCCTCCCCCGCGGAGTCCTCTGGGTTTTTGGCTCATTATGTGGGGAGGTTCAGTTTTTATCCAGTAAGCCTGGCTCCAGGGAGGAGACCAGTTTAAAGTCTTGCTTCAGGTTCTGGTTCCACGTCCTGTCTCTGAGCCTGCCTGTCTGCACCTGATCCTGTCTGCTCCTGTGCGTGACCACCTGGTCATGCTTCTGGTCCCAGTCAGACTCTGAACCCTCCTGGGATGCCTGGAAGTCTGGATCCTGCCACCTGTTTCTGTTCCTGCCTGTTCTGTCTGTTCCTGTCTGTTCTGGATCCCTGACCAGGATCAGCTTTCAGCATGTCCTCTGGGACTCCAGCACTGGGACATTCTTGGTCTGGACTGCTTTTGTTTTGTTTTATTTAAGAAAGGTTTGAACTTTTCTACTGACTCTCCTTGAATACTGGGTCCTCTCTGTCTCCGGTTCATGACAATATACTCATAAAGGAAATGCTAAAGGGAAATTGTGAGGTTAATGCTGCAAAGTCAACAACTCAATGCAAGCGAATGTCTGTCACTTGTGGTCGGAAAATTTAGATTTCTCTTGTTTCATATACTTAGTAATGCTACTTATCCAGTAAAAAAGTTTTTTACTCAGTCTGTTTCACCTGCAAGGACACAAAATGTCTGAGTGAGAAGAGTTTTACATCAACTAATACTTATCCCATAACAAGCCAAATTCTTTCTCAAGAATTGTTATTGTTAAACCTGAGTGTGTGTAATATGTTTTGACTGTGAAACAACCTTCACAGCTTTTTCCTCATTATAAGTAAGGGAGAAAAACTCTGTCTAGATCAGAACAGGGCTGATTACGGTGCAATAAGGGCCCAATGATGAACTTTTCTCTCTTTGCAAAGATATGAAAATAAAGCGCCGACTGAGTGAAATCTATCGATCTCCGTTCATTTAACTGGGTTGAACAGTTGAATACTTTTTTCCCACTACACACTAGGGGTGGAACGGTTCATAAAATCCACGGTTCGGTACATGTTGATTGTTAGGAAAATCTATTATGTCTTGTATAGTGGAACCCGTGTTGCACAATGCTTGCACACTGTTGCACTTTTATCCACACGTGCAGGACGCACAGCGCACGCTCGCTGATCAGATACTGAGTGTGGAGCGGAGCAACCCGGACTCCTTAGTTATTGTCCTTGGTGACTTTAATAAAGGTAACCTCAGTCATGATCTTCCTAAATACAAACAGTTTATCAAATGCCCGGCCAGAGAGGATAACATTCTGGATCACTGTTACACCACCATCAGAGATGCTTATCATGCTGTCCCCCGTGCTGCACTGGGCCAATCCGACCACGTCATGGTCCACCTGATTCCTGCTTACAGACAGAAACTAAAGCTCTGCAAACCTGTGGTGAGGAAATCAAAGAATTGGACCAGTGAGGCTGTGGAGGATCTTCAGGCGTGTTTGGGTTCTACTGACCGGTATGTCTTCAGGGCTGCCACCAACAGTCTGGATGAGTTCACAGAGGCTGTGACGTCATACATCAGCTTCTGTGAGGACTGCTGTATTCCAACACGAACCAGGGTGAATTACAATAATGATAAACCCTGGTTCACTGGCAAACTCAGAAGACTAAGGCCCC